CGTGAGCTGGACCGATTTGAAAATACCCCCAAAAATGCTGTTTTTATAAATAAAAATATTTTCTTAAAGAACTTTTTGAAAAAACTCCCCTTCAGATGACAAAGCAGATTAAAAATCTGCATAAAAATATTTAAAAATCTTTTCAACGGAATCGTAATAATGAGATTTTTGATGCTGTTTTTTAACTTTTTTCAAAGATTGATTTATGAAAAACTTGGGCAACTGGGCCAAATCTATTCTGATTTAGACTTATGGGGTCTCAGTGGAAAGGTATTTTCTCACTCTTTTTATTTCTGTGCAAAAAAAAAAATCATCCATGTCCCACTTTTTTTTTTTTTTTTTTTAAATACCAACACATCTCAATTCAGCTTGGAATGACGCTCGTTCATCCTACCTTTCTCGTTCATCCTTTGAATGAGTTTATTAGCAAAGAAACAAAAATGGTGGGAAAGTACCTTTCGAAATTTTTTAAGCTTAAACCGTTTTGTCAATTGAGGGGATTTGTTTTCAAAAAAATCTTTAAGAAACTATTTTAATTCATAAAAAACTCCATTTTTGGCGGTATTTTCATTCGGTCCAGCTCACGTAAATCTCAATATTTTTCTGAAATATTTTGGTGGAGGTCTTAAAATATAATAGATTTTATAATTCCAGTGGAAACACAGTACCGATTTTTTTTTTGTATGGGGAGTGATGCAGTCTAATTTACATATATGTACATATGTAGATGTTGAGCACAATATCAAAAAGAAATGCACCATTTTACTTCAGTTAGTTTATTTCGGTTGTATTGATTTCCTATTTAATTGCTTTATTACCCAACAGTAGTGGCGATGCCAGCTACAACTAGAAAATAGTCGCATACTTTGAAACTTTTGCTTTCACATTTCTACCTCTATGTGTAACGGTGTATTTAATATTTTCATCTATTATTGTACATATGTACATATGAACACCACGGTTGCCACTTTGGTAAAATGTTACCAAAATTGGTAACTTTTATTCTCTTTGGTAATTTAGTAACTTCCGATCTCAATTTATAACTTTTAGACTAAATGCCTAAAAACCAGAGACCATATAATTATTATGAGAAGGCGAAAATAATTTATATCTTAAAATAATCGTCCCGCGAGACGAAAACAACTTTTCCATAATAATATTAATGTAATAGATTGGCGCTTACACATAAGTTAGTGTTTGGCCGAGCTTCTCCTCCGATTTGTGGTGTGCGCCTTGATGTTGTCACACAAAGGGGAGGGACCTACAGTTTTACGCCGACTCCGAGCGGTGTTTGTTTGCCATGCCGAGGGACGACCGCTGTTAAGAAAAAATCTTTTTCTATGTTTTTTGCGATGTTGCTTTTACCAGGGCTTGAACCCAGGTGCTGATGAGTGAAAGCGCGCAGTGCTTACTTTTCCATTGTTCAGTAATATTTATAGAGCAATATTTAATTTTATTTCTTACAATCGTTATGGTCTCTGCTAAAAACCCTAAAATATTTTACAATATCTGCGGCAAAGTTACATACACGTAGCAAATTTCTTACGGAATGAATTTATTTTCGAGTTATGATTGGCGATATGTACAAACATATTTGCCACAAGGAGCTAAGGTCAGAAAAAAAATAAAAGAAAAAATCTAGCTACTAATAAAGAATTTTAAAAAGATAAATAAAACAGTTATGAATGATCAAATGGAAATGCGCACTGTATTTTTTTATGAAATATGGGCGTTACTCACGCGTGCATGACAAATCAATTAACTCCATTAAAAAACGTGAGAGATGCCATCAAATAAAGTACATTTTTTTAGATAGCCTTTATATTATAAATCCAACATCAAGTTATTATAAACTTTGACACTTAAGTTTAAGACTTTTCAAAAAGTGTATTTAACCGATTTGGCAAGTACAGATATCGTGTAAGTATATACCTATGAAAACTTCTAGGCAACTTTAATACAAACTCGAAGGTGTAAGTAACGCCCATTGTTTAAGTCAAAAGAAAAAAGGCTTCTAATACTTTTGGTAACTTTTTGGTAATCTTTTTAAAATTTTTTGGGGAAAATCTCCAAGTGTGTGGCAACCGTAATGTACATATGTAAAGTAAATTATTCCTTGTCTGCTTTCGAAAATAAGACTTTTATGTTTTATAATTTTGTTTGTAGCCTCTCTCTTCTACTTTGCTTAGCTGCGCCTTGCGAAAACGTTTCGTGTGGAATTTCGCCTGACCATACTATTGCCTTTGCGGCGCTGGCATGTGTTGTTGGGGAAAACCCCAAAAACGTTATATTTAGCAGCAGCGTAGCGTAGCCGATGACTACAATGAGAGCTTTGGCATGATGGCGTTTTAAGACTGAAATGCCAAAAAGCTGCGCAAGTATACAATTTGTATGTGCATAACGTCGTTTAAAGTACAAAAACGCGTATCAACAAAATGCAAAACCTCGTATCAAGATAAGGCAAAACCGCGTATGTTAGGTTGCATAAATTATTTTCTAGAGAGTAAAAACACTCTTATTCTTCTTTAAAAATCAATCGCATTTCTGGCTAGTATATTTTAGGACGAATGTATAAGGATTGCGCCAAGAGCTTGTGTGAGCAAATCCAATTTTTGGCAGCAAATGTCAGTTACGCGGCTTTGCAGAATGACGATACTCGGTTTTGTACTTTAAACGACGATATGAATGTATTTACCAATGTGTGCGTACATATAAAAACCCCAACAAACATTTCTGTAAGTGGTTTTTAAAGCAGGGACCGTAAACAATAGTTACTTTTTTTCATGAGTTAAACTTGGCCAGAAATTTTTAAGTCGAAAATAAAAGTATTTTCCTAATAATAAACAAACCGCTTATCCAAATTAAACAAGAATGTTTTCAACTGAAAGGGGACTAAAATAGCTTTAAAACTGAAATGTTTAAACGAGGAAACCCGGCGGAAAGCCAGCTATTGAAAAATATTTCAATAAAAAATGTAAATCATAAAAAAAAAAATGGTAACCTTCGTTTGTTATTTCTGTTTAAAAGCTATTTAAGTCCTCTTTCATTTGATGTCAAATTTTTTTTAATTTGGATAAGCGGTTTGTTTACTATCCGGAAAGACTTTTATTTCGGCCAAAATATCTGGCCAAGTTTAACTGTTGAAAAAAATAACTGCTATTTACGGTCCCTGTTTAAGGAGATCAATAAACGTTTTCAGTATTAAGTTTATTTTAAGTTTTTTCAAATGAACCTTTTATAAAAGTTGATAGCGAATATTTATAAATCACTTAACTTTAAAAGTAAAATGCAAATGTTCACGACAGAACAAAAAAAAATATGTACTTTCTTTTTAAAATTTATTATAAATGTACCTAAATTCATACGCTTATAAACGAGGTGCCGTTTCGATAATATAGCTTTTTTCATGCGTTTTACAAACAGAAAATATGCGTTTTGTAAGTTCTATAATTGTTTTAGTAAACTTTAAAAAAACCTACTTTAAGTTTATTTTGCTTGTTGGGCATTAACAAAAATATGTATGTACATGTGCGTGGCAGACAAATTGAAACCTGTCGCTTTGAGACTATGCTATAACCTACATGAATATCAAAACCAAATAAAGGGTACGTTGACGTCTTACTGGCTACTACTACAAAAAATAAAGCGTACAAGGTGTATGTGCCCAACGCAACCGTTTGATTGGAGAAAACTCCCCTCATTCACGTTGTGCTGCACAAAATAACTAAACTATTTATAGCCACTTTAAGCGATCAATATACTAAATTCGTTGTTATGACTTACATGCCTACATATGTACATATGATTTATGTAAATATCTAACAGGTTTACGAAAAAAGGCTTCAGCTTTTGGCTTTACATATTTATATACCAAAAAGCTAATATGGGGTTAATACATTAAAGACATCGTACTTCTCACTGCTTTTACACAAAAAATGTGCGAATAAAAATATCATTAGAATGTGCACAATTCTATTGACGTCAGCAATCAATGCTAAGTGTGCCAAAACTGTACATTGTACTGAATTGATGGCATGAAGATGCAAAATTCTGAAACGTTTTCTTCTTTTTAACGCATATGCGCAAATAGTACGTACATATGGATGTATGTATGTATATATATGAATGTACACACACAGGTACATTACGCCGACTACGAAAAACTTTTTTTCAGATATCTCTTAACCCCCAAGCTATACATATTTTATCCGTTCTAATGTTTATTCTTTTGGCAGCATTTTTCAATATTTCCTTTATTTTAGAATACTCATTTTAAATATGTGTATATACTTACACATTAACGATTCATTTTCCGCAGCCAGTTTTCAGTATTTTTTTTTTTAGAGGACTGGCGCGTCGTCTGTTGAATAATTAAATGAGCGCATTTGGTGTACAGAACTTTCTGTCTATATCTGATATCTATAAATAACAATATAATTTCAGAAATTTCCCAGCGACACCTAACATTTGTGCCGTCTGTAGCACTGGCTAGCCAAAAGACGGGACGACACGTTTAATATTGACTCTCACACAGACATAAATACATATATATTACCATAAACATACATATGTATGTATAAATGTATAATAATATAAATATGTATATTTATGAAACGAACTACTTTTTCATGGCAAAAATAAACATTAACAATTTAAAATTTTTTTTCTTCTTGCAAACAACAATATTTTCAGTTAATATATGCACCGAATAGGTGTGACCACCGCATATTCTCTGTCACTGTCCGGCTTTGGCCAGGCAAAGATTGATCCATTTCAAAACTTCAATGGTCGAACTCTTTGTAATAATGAATTCGCCTACCGAGGCCCTTTTAGAATTCATTAGGGAAGCCGAAGATATCTTGGCCACACTTTCAGATCGCGGTGTCTCTTATTCTGTTACACCCAAGACATAACTAACTAACTAACTATGTAATATATGCTGTAAGATAATGTTTAGATTCTAAATTAATAACATTTATAATAGCAGAGTAGCGACTTACCATTATAGTTGCGAATCTCTAAATTGGGCGGTAGGCATGCATAGCTCAGAGAAGAAAACAGTTTATCATTAGATCTATAACCATACTGACGATGTGCTTCATTAATCTCTGAAGCGCTAAATGGAACTGTTAAAGCGCTGACACATTGCTCATCCCCAGACATACAAGCAAGATGCAAAGGTGTATTTCCGTGTCGGTCACGTATACTTGGCTTAAATGAAATAAAGACAGGATTTATTAAGCTTAGTTAATCTAAAATTTTACTAAGATTCAGATAGTAGATAATCATTGATATTAAATAATGTTATGTATGCACATTAGGAATGGGATCCCGGACATTTTAAAGTCCCGAAAATCCAGGGATTCTTGACAAGTAATCCCGGGATTTTCGGGAGTGGTAATTTGCACTGATGGCAATAATAGAAACTCCTTTTCTTGACCAGTATTGGCTATATTTCTTTTTTTATTTAATAATTAATATTTTTTTAGAAATGTAGCTCATTATACACATAACACCACGCGATAGTAAATTTTAAATACAAATATCAATATATTCGCCAAACCCTGGGCCACATATAATAAAATTGCGTTTTTAGTTTTTCACTCTGACGTCAGTAATTCAAAAATGACTTAAAAAATTCAGAGAAATGTGCTTTGAGAAGAAGTATGGGTATAAAATTAATGAGGAAATCCTGTAGAATTTAAACAGATTCAAGTTTCTGGTGCAGCCCGGTAAATATTGAAAATGTCATTTTAAAATTCTATCCTTTTAATTTCGCAATATTTGTTTTTGAAAAAATTATATGTTAACGGCTTATATAAACTCGAAAACATCCTCGAATTTCGTTGTTCTAACTTTGTCAGCTTAAAAATTACCTATTCGTCCTTGTGAATCCAAAAAATTTAAATTTTATAAATTCTAAAAATATTTCCTATTACATTTGTTACCCATATTTTTATTCTATATTGCATTGAATTTTTTAACAATTTTTGGAATTAATCATATCTTTCAAATTACAAAGTCCTTCAAAATAAATCCTGTGGTTAGAGAGAAAAAAATCAAAACGCCACTTTAAATAAAAATGTAGGTTTCAAACCCATTTATTTATTATTTATTTCATGGTAGGAGAGCTTCTCAAAAAATATAGAAGCAATATTTTCGATTCAAGTTGTGGAAAGGTAATTAATATCTAAATCTCGGGACCAATCCCGGGATCCCGGGATTGTGACAACGCCATCCCGAAAATCCCAGGATCCACCGAAAGCCGAAAAATTAACATCCCTAATGCACATACAAATGTACATATTTAAGATTAAATGAAGAACAATAAATGAGCTTATGCATACCTCAGCGCCGGCAAGTAAAAGCATCCGCAATATCCTTCTTTGTTTTGTTTGCGCGGCTAGATGTAAAGGAGTTTGACCAAAATCATTTTTAATGTTCAGAAGACAAGGATGTATAGCGAGGCGGATGAGAGCAGCTACAACATTTTCATGTCCTGATATGCATGCTAAGTGGAGATAGCTACACAAAAAAGAAACAGGTAATCGTTACATGTATTTTTTATTTTATTTATTATTAAGAGTAAGTGCACAACAACCAGAAGTTATATATTACAATGCACTACATATACTGGCGTCCAAAAGTGGATGAATGGTGTTTTGTTTTTAATATTTAAAATAGTTTTCAATAAATTTTTTTTGTTTTTGTTATTTCTGGCCTTATAACAATTATATTCAACAATTTTTATTGAGCTTGAGGCCGTTTTTTGTTTTATTCCTTTAACAAAAATCATATAAATGAAACCTTCAAGCTTCATAGAGAGTATAGAAAAAGTCCACCAATTTTTTTCTAAACTTTCTTTTTTTTATCAGAATTTTTATAAAATTTTTAGGTCTGCAGTTACAAGGCTTATAAAATTTTGGTAAAGTAAGTGCAAGTTTCGAGCGGCTAAATAATCACCTTAACTTGTGATATTTTTTTTTGTTGCCGGCGTTTTGCACTTTTTTCCGTATAAACATGAATTTCTTGTGGAATAATATGCGTAAGACCGTTTGCGAAAAAAAATTCAAAAATCAGCGCCAGTATTCCTATACTGTGCTATTTATAATGAAAAAAAACGCAGAAGCCCTCAGCAAAAACAAAAATATTAAAAATCGATGTGAATTTTTAGGCGCTTTAAACTTGCACTGCCTTCTCGGGATTAGATAGAGAAGCAAAGCGAATGGGTCTAGTGGTGAACGAGGCCAAAACGAAGTATCTCCTGCCATCATACAAACAGTCAGCATACGCGTCTTGGCACACGCGTCACTGTTGACATTTGCAAGATTGAAAAAGTAGACAACTTTGTTTATTTGGGAACCAGCATTAACACCAATAATAAAGTCAGCCTTGAAATCAGACGATTTAGCGGTGAGCTGTATGAGCTTTGCAACGATATAGACATAGTGCAGCGAATTAAAATTCAGTGGCTCCGCTGTCTTTGTCATGTCGTCCGAATGGACAGAAACGCCCCTACTCTGAAAGTATTCAACGCGGGCAGCGATGCTGATAACAGAGGAAGGCCTCCTCTGCGTTGGAAAGACCAGTCTTGTAACTGCATACCCAAAGATTTTATAAAAATTCCGATTAAAAAGCTCAAAATTTAGATAAAAAAAAGGAATATTTTGAATTTGTTAAAATTTTCTAAATTCTGTATAAAGTTTGAAAGTTTGATTTATGTATATGGTTTTTGTTAAAGCATTAGCCATATTTGTATACAAAAAGAACAAAACAATTTTAGCTTAAAAAGTATTAAAGATACTTATTTAAAAGCGCAAAACTCCGGCAAAGTGTGCAATTTAAAACCCTCGCAAAAGATATGTCAAAATTTATATGGAAAGCCATTTGCCTAAAAAGCGCATGTTTGCGCGGCAATTTTGTCATTCTGATATGTGCTCAACGCTTTTTCGTAAGATTTACATTTGAGTGTCAATTGTGCAACTTTTTAAAGTAAGTATCGTCAAACAAGTAATTTTTAAGCAAAAAACAAAACCGACTTCAACTCCATATAAAAACTTAAGATTATCGTTAATTTCTTCATGATCCGATGATCGGATTTAAACCAAATTAATATGGGACCACCTGTGAGGTAACACCTCACATCGGTTAACGTGATCCAAAGTAAAAAAAATAAATAAAAATATTCCAACAAATTGATAACCTTTCTCCTTTTTGTGAAGTCGGCTAATAATTAAAGATCAGAAATTGAACAAAATATAAAATCATCCTAATGAAACACACAGTGCAAAATTGCCCAATCGCCCAAATATGAAACTTGCGCTTATAGATGAGTACCCTGATTAACCGACTTCAAACAAAGGAGGAGGTTATCAGTTCAGTTCAGTTTTTCATGTATTTTACCACATAACTTTGGACCACATTAACCGATTTCGATAATTTTTTTCATCGGAAAGGTGCTACCTCAAGGGTGGTCCGATACTAATTTTGTTTAGATCCGATAATTGGATCGTGAAGAAATTAGCGATAATCTAAAATTTGTATAAGAGAATTGATGTTGGTTTTGTTCACCACCACCACCACCATTCATCCACTTTTGACCGCCAGAGAATGTATAATATTAAATATTTATCGCCTGTTTTAGCACTAAATTTGTATTATAATATAAGTATTCAAGAGAAAATAACCAAAACAATGTAAATTTTCCAATCGTAACTTACGTATCTCCCTCATCATTTTGTTGATAGCATTGTTCCCAAGCGGGTAGCTGATTAGATTCTATCGCTTTTGGTGTTGTTGTCGCTAGAGGCTCTATTGTTGCAACTTTGCTAGAAGCATTCAAATCATTTATTGGTTCATTTTGTAAAGTAAGATTGCAAAATCTTTCCGAGATGTGAGCATCGACATCGTGTTTGAGTTTCATATTTTTATTAATCAAACTTGAGTCAAATATTTTCTTTTGCTGATTGGGTGATTGCGTGTGTTGTTGTGCAATAGGTTGATGTTCGCCGTATTCGTCTTCTTCTTCAATGCAACCCGAATCAACAACACAAACTTCTTCAGATTTCTCGTGACAATGCAAACTCTCAGTGTTGTCTTTAGAGTTGCCCTCCTCTCTTCCAGCGGACCTATCCTTCTCTTTCTTTTGCTCCTCCAGATTTGAGCTTATCGAACCCGACAAGAACCCTGAATCGGTTCCGTGAGTCGGATCGTCTATTTCAATATTTCGCATGAATGCTGGTTTTTGGGAATTTACTGTGCTTTCATTGTTTGCTACAACAACAGAAGCACTACTTCTGCGATCACTTCCTGCGTCAACCGTTTTCTCATTACTTCTCGCTTCATTACTTGACGCACCTTCAGTCGGACTCGACATTATGCAGATTTTGGTAATTGCCGTAATTTGGGATTTAAAAATATAATATAGATATCCACTATTTGATAAAATTA